AGTTGGTTGGAGTATAAGCAAACACGACAAAATTGACAGCGATCAACTTGTGAGACTGCTCCAGAGACGCTGCCAGACGGACCGCACAGAGGCGACTACCAACGGTTACCTAGTCAAGCAAGAATCCTTCAGCCCAGTGACTCGGCGATGCCAAACCCTGCATATCCTGCCGTAGCAGTCTTTGGATCGCCAGGGTTTCGCACCCGAAAGCGAATGGACAGTCATGGGGCGGTCGGTTCAATTACAGTTCAATTACAGTGTGTCTTCGATTCTTGTTTCTGATACAGTGCCAAGCGAGTCCAGTGTGAGAGCGAGAGCAGCTTGTTCTCCTGCTTGCTTCGGAGTGTGGAGTGCTTCAGAGTGCACATCGCCACTCGACGCTCAGTCTATCTGCAGATGTTGCTTACAAAGCCGATGTGGGGCGAATTGAGCCACCAGTCCTAACTGCTGGGCCTACAAGGAGAGAGTTATTAATGGGGGGAAGACATACAAAAGTGTTACGGTTCGGTCACGCAGCGAGCAAACAGTATGATATGCGGATTGTGGCAGTACTCTATCCCCAGCTATGTTGCTTGATCCAGACTCCTAGCACGGCAGATAGTAAGAAGACGAAAAACCTCGGGGACAAACTTTAACGATCCAAAAACACGCGATCAACCGGTGATGCCCCGGGCTTCCGAACCCAAGTCAGTAAAAAGAAGGTATCGTGTAATAAGTGGTCGGATTTCAAATTTCTTGGAATGTCAATAGGCCATTGACCTTGAAGATGCTGGAAGCTCGCTAGCACACAAAAATACAGCGTTTTTTGGGGGATATTGATATCCCCAACAGAAAGATAAAGAAGGGGTCGTCAGCAGTAGCCTGCTTTCGCTTAACCCCTCTCTTGATGTATGCACCAAGTAAGGCGACCCGGCTGATGGCACCATGCGACAGCCGATGTGTCATGGATTTATTTGTGTGCATGCAATTCATGGTTGTAATTGGGCTGGGATACACTCCTATACCAAAGCCTTTGACTCAAAAGCCTGACTGCAAGGCAGTGGTTTTTGGTGATAAATGCAACTGTATTTCAATTTTTCCGGAACAAGCTGCCATGTATATTCCAACCCCTAACCTGGAGGACCAGTAGACTGTTTGCCTGACCTCTAACTGTTGACCAATCTTATGTAAGAGACTGTGTCACGTGGACACCGCTCAGTATGGGTCAACGAGTCGTGGAGGTACATAAACCACGGTAAGGCCCACTCCCTTCGTGACAGATCCGTGTAACAGAGTTGTTTAGGTTATTTAAAATGGTTTGTATTTTGCAGGGATATGAATCAAGGAGGGTAATATTGTCCACATGCCTAATGTCTGTGGGCGAACGCCCCGAGGGGCATTTCGACCTCCGAAGTTTCGGAAATAGGCGGGGAAATTTCTAGCAGCACGTCAATAATAAAGTCGAAGATAAAAGACGAGAGAAGACAGCCTTGTCTTACATCACTTGGCGTTGGTGAATTCAGGCAAAAGCTTGCCGTATACTTGTGTGCGCCCACAGGAATCCACATACATTGCCCCCATAGAGGATGTAAATTTGGAAGGGACACGTTTAATCGCCAGACACCGCCAAAGTTCCTGATCCGCGGAGTCAAAATAGCTTTCGGATCAAGAAAAACGCACAACGTGGGACGTTTAAAGGATTGCCGCCATTAAAAAACCTGTCCCAAGGTAAATGTATGGTCATTGCATCCTAGGCCAGGGCAAAGCGCAGCTTGATTCTCACGAATCTGTCTCCCTTACGGCAGTGAAGCATCAGTGCCAACACTGATGTTGCTGTCATTGATGATGATGATGATGATGATGAATCTGTCTCCCGATAATCGATCGACCACGCAAAACAATTCCAGAGAGCACCTGAAATGCGACGGATACCAGACTAATTCCACGATGGTTTTCGCATGAAGAGCGGGGTGTGAGCGGGTGAAGAGCGCGGGGTGTGAAGCATCCGGGGTAGATGTCGTGTCGCGTTGGATACTTGATCTGTTGTTGATGGTTGGCCGGTGTCAATGTTCCATTCGGGCCCGCTGAGTTCTTCCAGCTGATCCGTTCTTTTAAGTGTTCAGCCTATCGCTCAAGACGATGATTGAGGAAGTGAATTGCCGTTCCTTCTTTTTCGCATATCGTTTCGCCGATATTTGTCGTCTTTCGACCGGTTGACCAAATCTGCTGTTGCCTGCAGCGAACACCCGCATCTTCGGAGCCTTCAAAATCCACCAGCGTCCTCTGCCATTCTTCAAGCTCCTAATTATCCGGTAGTTGAGGGATCTGCATGCGCCATCGTAGTCGCTAGTTGCTGGTATAGCCCTTCTGGCAGAAATACTATCTGCGGATCTGGACGACACCCAGCTGACCACCTTTGAAGACTCCAATTATTTATTACCGCTCACGGCAACTGTTGAAGGTGTATAGGATATTTAATGTTGGCGTCAGAAAGCACTGCTATAATGCTTTGCTTTTTGTGGATTGATCTGGCGGTACCGAATACGACTATTTACGCACGTCGTCTGCTAACCGGTTTGATCTGCTTAGACTATCCGTGTGGCTACTACCATATCCAAAGTGTTTTTATGCTGTGCTCTCAATAGTGGAGGGTAAATTTTAACTACCGGGTCTCCTTGTAGTCCACATTACCAGACAAAGAAACAGACTGGACTATGTGCTTCAACCTTACTGTTGAGGGAACTTTTTACGCGACATATATTCATCCTCGTCATCATCATCGTCGACAGCATGACATCAGTGTTCAAGACCGATGCTTCGCTGTCGTAGAACTATATCATGGTTATACGTGGGCTGGGATGCTGTCAGGGCGCCCAAACCTAGACTTGGATTCGGAGGTTCTCGAATCCAGATGATGCTCCAAGAGGAAGTCGCCATGAAGTAAATGCCACTCTGTGGTACCCTTGGCTTGGCTGTCGTTTCACGCTTGTCGTGAAACGCCTTGAAACCGAGAATTACCGAATTTCGTACCGTTAAGTCCCAAAATAAGCGTCTAAATTTATTGAACCTTTCTTCTTTAGAGTAAGTATTTATTCCCGAGAGCGCACTCAATACTGGACTTCGTACTTTCCCACAATTTTGCTCGTTGTCCTCCAGGAACACTCAATTATATGTTGCTACGCTCCTTTCCAGGTCAGTTGCTATAAATGGATAGCTAGTCATTTGTATTATCTACTGTAATGGATTGGGAAAATCTTCCGTTGCCTCCGAATTGGGAGACACGTTTTGACGACAGCTCTCGCCGATGGTAAGTTACTGACCACGTGCATTGAGCGTACTTTCTAGGTTTTTCATTAACCATTCTACCAAGTCGACCACATGGGAAGACCCTCGACCCGCGTACTACGCATCGGAAGATGCGAACACCCCACAATCGGTGAGTTTCATCATATGTTACACCAGCATTGCATCTTCAGACTAACCGTACAAGTCGCCGTAAACAAAAACGTCTTCAATGTGACCATGGCTTCTCCAGCGAATCCCCTTCCGCTTCTGAATCCCCCTATTCACTTCCTGACACAGATGATGAACGGAACAGGTTAGTTTGATTCTTCCGAGAGTCTTTGTGAACTGTTCTTTCCGATAACAATGGCTACATAGCAGATAAGTACGGCAACAGAATTTGTAAGACGCATCGCGAAGGCTCTCGCTGTCTACCCTACTTTGGTGGTAGCTTTCCGTTCCTTGACAGCGTAAAATTTATCATATTAGGCACAAGTACGCATATTGTTCGAACGATACTTTCATGCTATTTCAGTGGCGTATTGCAGATAGTGTCCGCCTTACGAACTTCATACACGACTGAACTGACGAGTTTATGTCATACAGCTATCTAGAATATGTGCTACCAGACTATGGAGGGAACACAAACCTTCTGAACTCTCTAAGTTCTATTGTCAGGCGTTTGCCAGGTTCAAGTGTGTTCGCTTCAGGTATCGTTGTCCTGCAACCGTAGGAACATTCGAGCTACTTTTCAAAAGCACATTGGTTGGGATTTTCATCCGCATCGGAGTTTATCTTTCAACTGTTACCCCACTACAACAAATAAGCAGTGATTCTGAGAATAGTGTGACTTCAGCCACGTAGCCAGTCGCATGATCATCCTGAACGGCCGGTAAGAGTCGCCAGCACTGTTCCAAACGCACTGGATCACATCCTACCAGCACTTTGAGCAAATTATCTCCCCCACTCTGAATGTTGGTCGGATCGAGAAGCCTCTTATGGTTAGCTTTCATGGTTTGTTGTTGGTGTGTACATATGTGCGAACGGTTCCGCAATGCAAACTGTCCGACTTATTTTTGTGGGCTCCTACAGCTAAATTTAACCCACTGAAAGTATCCCTTGTTTGATTCCAGCTCAGAAATCTCGTCCGACATGGTGCCTGATCCTCTTAGAATTAAACGCTGCGCGGCCTTGTGTACTTTGTTCAGTATGGGCGCAGCCGCAACAATTCAACTTGATTTGCAAATCATTGCGATGGCAAATGATTCAGTAGCCAACCTGTTAAATGGGCTGACAGCACGGCAAATTCCTGTTTCGGGAGTTGTGTAAATCACTTCGTGGTGCTTTGATCTCGCCTAGTATCATAAGAATTTGACGTTTAGAAAAGCCTTAATGGACTTCTGCACTTTTCATGCTGTGATTTTTCACCTAACGAGGGCGAAACCTGATGGACCAGGGATATCCTCTAACGCAGGATGGAAGTGAGCATCATACTATACCGAGCAGAGATGAAGCACGAAAGCTGTAATACTGCCAAGCTGCCCAGACTTTTGTATGCCGGCAGAGTGCCAACAAAGTACCTTCCTTTCCTTCGTGATCTGTTTGTACTTGTAATCAAAATGCGCGACGCCAGAATGGACTCAAATTTCAAAGTGTTATGACCGGTATTAATATCGCAGCTATTGCAGAAACTCCGGACATTCGATTGGGTTTCGTGAATTAGGAAAATTTTGGTGGTATTTTGTACTAAGCTGAAGACAGCTCAAGGGATAAGGTATCAAAATCGTCCGTCAGGTTTCTAGTTTCCTTGACTCTAGCTGGCTGGAAAGTCCCCCAGGCAAGCCAATCAATCAACACAACCAATATAGTTGGTGGGTTGAAGTGTTTGTTAAGCCTCAGATTGCTCAAATGTGAACACGTCCGTCCGTTCGGATATGATGATTCAGGTGCACCTAGCTTGCGCTGGTAAAGTTGTTTCCACGGCCGCCTCGCTCGTCAGGTGTTTGGGTTCCAAATCGCAGCATGGCCGAGGATGCTGCTTGTGAGCTCTGACAAGGGGCTCGAGTCCTCTTTGGTGTGGTCTCACCAGAATAGTTTCAGCTGGACAGAAGGATGACTGTTCGAAGGGAAGTAACCTGAACCCAAATGGTATCTACTACCGACCGGAGGTCCGTCACTGGCCTTTCGGTTACCCTTTGGTCTACCCTTGTCTGTTGGTGACAAGCACGCCAGTGATGAGTATAAATTAAAAATTTCCATCTTTGTAATGTACTACTCATAAGGTTGCTGAAAATCCGTCGACAGCCCACGACCGGTTTCGCCCTTTTTGAGGCTCATCAGGTAGGCGCGGTCCCCGGGTTTCCGTCAACCTTTTGTTCTACTTGAACCATGAATTTCTGAAGTTTGGTGCAGTCGACTCAATGTTGAGAAGGTTTGGTTCATGTGTTATTAGTGATGATGAATATGACCAGGAGACATAACCACTTCGGGTGAGAGATCTGAAACATCTTCGGGTCATTATAAAATAGGATAATCGTTCAGCTGTAACACCCTTCCGGTGCCCAGCTGCCATGCCACCCGAAAGCAGCACGATGGCTGGGATACTGCCAAGTTGCTGAAGTATAGACAGGAGAAGTCGAGATGCAGAGGTTAGGTTCGAACCACGGACCTTCTTCAAGTCATTGGCCAGAAGCATAACAGGGGTCGGCTGAAACCAGCCGATTTGCAATGAGGTGATCGATAGACGGGCTTTTGTCGATGTCCTGAAGACCTCTGAGTTCCGCCAATGGAAGTGCCGTTTTCCATGTCCCATTTAAAGTAGAGGAAGCAGAGGGGTGGCTTACCTATGACCTGGTAAAGGGTTATGAAAGAAATTAGAAAATGTCTAGGTGATGTCGGTGCAACTCGCCTTCCAGAATGGGGACCGCGTGATCTACCTCTACCTGGTTTGAGACGCTGCAGGATGTGGCTTCTAATCGGTGTTGATAGCGTTCCTGTTGTTAGTTTCTATCCAGATTGCCTCAATTAGTGTGTATGCACTTCGAACTGATTATGGTTGGCTAACGCCAACTTCCTTCCCCATCCTCTTATTATTTTCTTCAAAGTCAGGCTTTCAAATAAATTATGGTTGTATGGCAAAGAAGCGTCAGTGTTGGAAAATGATGGCATGCCATCCATGATGGTGATCGTGAAGCGGAAGGTACTTTCCTCAGAGAATGCATCCAGCACTGCAAGCTAAAGTGGCCGGGCCATGTACTACGCGTGCCGAGTTACTACCTTCCAACAGCTCTAGTTTCCGTGTCTCATTCATAATGGCGGAAGTCTATATGCGGGCAGAATTTGATGTGTCAAAAAGATGTCACGAAAAGTTTGGATGCTGTTGGTGCTGTTCACCTTCCAGGATGTGTCCTTGTGACCCTCCCTGAACGATGTGGCCAACCGACGTCAATGGCGTTCATGTTTTCAATCTCCATCTAGATTATCTGACTGGATGCTGGAGGTATAGTCATCTTGGATGTTTGTTTTAGGCTAGTCCCAGGCCCCCGTCCCTTCCCCATTTCCTCCCTCCCACTATGAGGCTTTATTCAGACAAATAGACATGGTTGTACGGAATTGAAGTCCCAGTGTTCTCATCTGGTGTTGCTGCCAATGATGATGATGGATAGCAGAAGTTACTAACTGCTTTCCAACCCGCTTCTTTTCGTTTTTTCCTCCTTAGACTACGACCGCATTCATCCAAGGAAGCGGATGTGGAAGTCACTGAGGGGAGTGAGTCCGGAACGCAGGACTTCATGTCATATTTGAACGCGTTGCGTGCATCTTATCCAGACCTCAAAGAACGCCAACTGGGACAACTTCTGGAAGAGTAAGTTGCATTGTTCGTTTTTTCGAGGATAGAAATCATGAGGCAACTACGTAGAGTTCGTGACGAACTATGGACGGAACAGGCTAGTTCTATCAGTATGACTCCCAATATTGGGATCGCGTGATCTTGCGCCTGGCGCTGAAATATGTGACCACCATTGTTCGTGCTGTCAACTTCCATCCAATTCCTGTCCACATGAGCGTTTGGGGATGTAGACTCCTCGGATATTCATGTTGGCTGACACGAATTCCCTTTTATTAACCCAGTTGTCATTATTCTCGTTATATCGTCTTATTCGGCTAATTTGATATGGTTCAGCTCAATTGTTCTCGGACTCGTGTTGCTATTTTCGTGGATTTTGATCCCAGGCATTGATTCCGCACATACGGAAATAATAAAGACTTGATATACTAGGAACAGGATTCTGAGTCCGTCCTGCACCGATATCCAGTCCAGCCCAGATATCATCCATCCCATTTCCCAACACCCATTTTATACGATTAGCTTTAGAGAAAGTTCCGTGAAAGTCATGAAAGTCACATAAACATCGGATGTGACTGTTTAGTAGTAGTCGTTCAGCCTTAACACCCTTTCGGTGTCATGCCACCCGAAGTTTGAACGCGAGCTGGAACACTGCCAGGTTGCCCAAGCGTAGATAGGGGAAGTCGAGATCCCGGGGCTGGATTCGAACCACGGACCTTCCGGTCGTTGAGTTCGTCTTAACCAATCAGCTATCTCAAGTTTTTGCTGAACTATCTCGAAACCGACGTGTTGTCCGTAATCCCTTCAAACTGTGTTGGACTACACACACACCTCCCTCACACTGCTCTCACTGCATTGTGTAGTTCGATCCACATAGGTTTATTCACCAACATACATTCTTCTTGTGATAATTTCGTTAGCCCGTTACTGCACTGGAATGGATGATCGGTAGAGATTTTCCGCCAATTCCAGACAAATTATATTATTTTCAAGGACCAAATCCCCTGACAAGAGTGTTTTCTTCATAAAGATTTCTCTAGATACAGATTATCCATCGTAGAATAATGATAGGATTCCTTTCGAGTGTTTGCGAATCATACATTCCAGCTCAGTCGATCAGTTGATTTATCCCCCTCCAATAAGTCGAAATCTCATTAATCATATGAGTGGTCCCCTCGGTACCAAACGAAAGAGATCAACAATTCATCAATGTATTTACGACTTTGACAACAGTTGTGAACAAATCAAGGCAACAGCACTGTCGTACATTTAGTTGGCGTCACGTGCTGTGCAACTGCGTTTCTGAGTGTGTAGTGTAAGACATTGTAAAGGTGATTCTTGCCTGATAGTTTACTGCTTTAACTTCAGTCAGAAGTATCATTTCGATATTCCAGGATCTTTCCGTTATGTTTCTACTATGAAAGGCCTATAATCTGCTGACAGTAAGTAACTACCTAAAACACATTTATAACCCATCCAAAGTTGTCAAAAGTTATTCTTCTATTGGAAACCGATTCGATCCGGTTGTCATCATTCGTAGTCTCGGAGCAATGCGACTGGTCCCAGCGAAATCGGACGATTTGATTGAAGTGTAATGAGCATGGACAGCTGAAATGCGTCTCAAGGTCGTTCATAAATCCAAGGGTATGTTCAAGCGAGTTTTGTCTTCAGCTAGTCAACGCAGGTGAACATGTCACGGTTGGATAGAAGTGCTTAGATAGACGAAGCGCAAAGACGATCTAGCTAACCAGTTTAAAACGAGTTACGCATATACATGGCCATCATCAGTATCAGCACTGATATCCATTGGGTTGTACCAGAGAACCCCTCTGCCATCACTGCCGAACCCCCAATGTTTCCGACTTTCTACCGGACCATGCCCTATTCACCATATTCCTTACGAGATGTTATGGTGAGCAACCATGTCCCTATCATGTGACCTCTTGGTTTCCCGGAACCCAAGGAACCCAACGCTCAACATGCATTCATATTCCCTCTACCCCAAATAATCTGCTTGCTTTCAGTCCCTACCTCCCCTTTTCCACTAATTCCTATCCACCAAGTTTGTCTCCTTTTCAATTCTTCATTTCTCAGACAACATATGTATGAGTTTTAAGGGTGGGATCCTGCAATTGATCTGAAGGCGCCCGTGTGGGTATCGAACCCGGGTTGTCGAAATAACAGCCAAACGGTTGAATGTAACCTTCAAAATCATGATAATTGTTTCGAGCTTTTGTTTTACCAGTCTCCTAACGGGATTTTATCAGGGGACCTGGTTCCATACACCCTTTTTCCACCTTAATACCTATGAACCACGCGCAGATTGCTGCTCCTACGGTTCCACTTATCGTTAATGTTAGCGATAGAGCTTAGTTACTTAAGTGGTGGCAGACACTCATTCGTTATAGGCGGTCAGTCACAACTTCAAGGTTGTAACCTATGAATCAAAACGTTGTGCCGATAAATGAGCCAGCATGGTTTGGTACCGGGATAACAGATGCCTTTAGGTCGATCGAAACCCCGGAATCTTACATGAACGAAACTGAGTTGATCATGCTCATTCTTACTGTTTTTATAAAAGCGAAGCTACTTAGTGGAACATTAGTAGCATCACTTCGAATGAGACGTTTCTCTCTTTTATCTCATATCCTCCGGTTACCCCTTCGCATTCGTCGCTTGCATTCACTTTTTTATGTTTGTGACCATGCTCTTCAAAAATAAATGATAGTATTGTATATGTGGGAGTTTACCTGCAATATTCACCTTCTGAATGATCTTTAAACTTACATAAGTTGTATTCAGCGCGTTGATTCCTGGAAGCAGTAGTGTATTCCTGGATGTTATTCACTCACTTCAGGGCCTCAGCTTTGTGATACAGAGTATAACGTTAATCTTGGTTCGGCTCTGATCTCCGTTCGCAGGCCGTACCATATTAAACAGCATCAAAAGTCTATTCTGAGTGGCATTGCAGACTTATCAACCCAAAAGTACTTTCCAAACTTCTTTCGGAAGACCAATGGAATCTTCATCCATCCATTTATTGAGCAATGCTGTAAGAATTCCGGTTCCGTAACCTTGTATGACTCAATGGTCCATTCCAAAACGTCCATTCAGCTGCTGTAAATTGAATTGTTTACATGAGTCCGTATATTGTGAGTGTGAACTCAGAGGAGCTACTTGGTCGTCGTGAAACGAGGTGTTGTCCAGACGAGTGTATCCCGTCTCATGAAGTTCTCATTGTTTGCTGTGACCTAGCCTCAAATTCTTCTATCTTTTTTCCACTTAACTCATTTTTCTGTATTTTGTTTAAAGACTCAGTGTAACATTCGTGTTATTAACTTCAACAGCCATCGACCTCCATAATGTCACCCGCAGTTTCAATATAATTGTTGAAAGCTTTGTGTGAGCGATGTAAACACAGACTCCCCGATAAACTAGGCTTCCTTACTTTGATCGTTCCCCTATACAGCTTCCTGGGTGATTCTCCTGAGCTACGGAAGTTCATCTCTGTTCACTTGCGTCGAAATTCCTCAGAACGATCGTCCGAACAACAAAGTAAGAGTTTTTTTAAACATATTTTTTGCAACTTTATGGTGCCTTTCTAGAATCGGATGGGTCGGCTTAACTAGTATCTTGAATCGCTCTTGTCCATCAAGCAAGAGCAAGAGCAGACTTAAGCACGGAGTTACATGAAAATTTGTGTACGAGCCAACAGTGCCCTTACCCTTATCCGTCGTTGTAATCACTGCGTTGTCCACCTGTTTTAGGGTGTTTAACGCTCTCCGCTCTGTTGGTGTAATACTTGGAGCCCCTGGTTGCTGGAACTTGAAGACTGTGACCAGCTGTACCCGTAACTTCTCCGCCTCCATTGGCGGAAGTTTTCGAAACGCAGGTTCAACGCAAAATTCAAATTCTTCTCTAACGGACAACGGTCTTCCTCACTTAATAGTCTATTCACCATGCTACGATAGCTAGTAGGCGGCTCAGGCTTAGTTATGGCCTCACTAGGAAGCTGAGTTTTGGAAAATAACTTTCCGGAAATACGTTTTGTTCTTCTTTGTAGTGATGTCATTGGATGGCTATCACTTCTGTTGCTTTGGTTTGGAGTAACTGGAAGTCTGCGGGAGAGAGTACGGTGTGAAGATCCTATTTAAGCCGTCATGCTTGGTGACGCATATCAGATAAACTCCAAGTATCAAGTAGATCCTCTGTTTGAGGAATACCTTGGCCGCTGAGAGTGCTATTCGGGTAGACGCGAGTGACGTGTCCAGTGGCTTAACCAGTAAAGATGTGGAGATTAAGTTGTGCTTTAGTCATCTTTCATTGAATATGGAGTGCTTCTCCCAGTTTGCCCCTAACCTAGCTAATCGAATTTGGTTACTTGACAGTTTGCCAACACATGGTCCGTAGTGGTTTTCAACCAATCGAAAAATCAGTCGGAACCGATTGGAAGGGCTTGGTAAACAATCGGTAGTTCCAACTAGTCCTCACCAAAGGAATAAAGACTCGCCTCGGGTTCGAACTCTGGAAATCCGAGCATATTGCCACCCCTCGACTGGCACGCGCTGGACACACGGGTTGGATGGTTTGAAAACGCAAGTCACGGTTTGGTACCAGGGAATCATGAGCAAGGTTTCAAAGCTGTTTTGTTATACATCCAGCATGGATAATCAGAAAAGAACCCACCACACGGATCAGATTGTGCGGTAGCGGAAGAAACTTAACTTCCACTACATTTGTGAATTTCCACTAGACGTGCCATGCTTAGGAAAGTAATCGGTTTAGAGGGATGAGCACTGTTTCAGTGCGATTATTCGTGAAGTAGAGCAACGAATAGCATAGCTGGGTGGTGCATGTATACCGTTTGGGGACTCGCGGTCCGAAAACTCACCATGCTTGAAATCACAGAAGTGATTGAGGACATCCTAATAGAATCCAGACGTTCCTTTACCACTTCTGATAGGGAGGACACTGTCCCCCATTTCCTTCGAGCACCCTAACAACTGGAACATCCGGAAGTAGCGACAGTAATTGGCAGTGCTAATTTCTCTAGCGACTGACCGGATACATCTGAACTAGCGCTCCCAACCATTTGTAGAGATCAGTTTTGGAACATATGAACATCGCTTCTTTGCTATAAATTTTGGGTCAAACTCCAAGCTCGAGACCTGACATTTTGCAGGCCCTTTGTGAGCACTGTTCAGGGCAAACAATCTGATTAGGCATATCACGTGATTGAACCAATAGACATTTATAGCAAGATTCAATCCCTATAGATTGTCATGTTCAGTGTGCTGTTTAGTTTACGAAGTTCAATATATGGCATCTGAACAGCCATGTATTGTTTTTCATCGAAACCTAATGTGACGCTGTTGCGCTCTCACTCACGCGGCTTCTTTGCACCGGATGTGCACTTTGTGGCAGTGTCTCTCAGCTTCCTGTTTCTATGTGATAGCTGAGATACTTGACCTTACCATGATGGTGAGCGTTTGATTTACATCTGTGACCTACTGAGGTATGCTTGGCGAGGCCGCCCAGCTACTGTCCACAAAGTCTCTTCTGTCTTGTTGGTCACCGGTTAAAGGTCTGAAAAGCATAGTCTGTTTGTCCTTCAGTTTGGAGGTCGAAAGAAATGTGGTGACTTGTTTCTCAAAACTGGACTACGCCAGTATAATGTTGAACATGCTCTCTTGTGCTTGGGCTACTGAGTCAAAGACTTTGATTCAGGGCTGTCCTGTTGTGTAGATTGACATGCCAGTTTTTCTAGAGTATGGTGGTCGCTTTATCAAGCAAATACCCTCGACTGGTGGTGATTCGCCTAGACTTACCGCGATATTCAGGGTGGGTGAGTGGTACTCTTGTGAACGAACGATGCGTGTGCGACTGTCAGGTTCTCTGTGGTGTTTTTTCTACTAAATGGCTGGTAGTGAAATAAAAACGACTTCATGGTCAGAAAGTGTTTAATGTCTGCCGCACAATACATACGGGGCGAGGTGAATCAGTGGTTAGAGCGCGAATAACTTACTGCAGGGTCCGTGGTTCGAACCCGACCTCTGCATCTCGACTTCTCCCGTCTAGGCTTGGGAGACCTGACAGTATCCCAGCCCTCGTGCTTCCCTAGGGACCGAAAGAGTTAGAGCTTAACGAATTTGGTTTCGCATAATACATACACACACGAGTGTGTATCACACCGTATTGACAGCCAAAGTATGTTTCAACTCAGCCTGTTTGTCAAAACACAAAGTCCATACTCGCATAACTGGGGTGAACCAGAACCACCTTGCCTCTGAAAGGCAAACCAATCTCGATATAAACGCCTGGCGAATACGTCCATACCGTGTTTGATTACCTCGTTTAACGCGGGTAAATCTAGAAGATACTATTGAGAATCCGAGTTCGCATATTCCCGCAACCGAAGTCAATCTGTGCTGAAAATTTGAGAAACGCTGTAAAATCGTTTCAGTTTCATAGGAAAGATTCGAACCCACTACCTGTCGCACCTAACAATTGGTAAAACGACCAGAGGTTAACAAGCACCACTAATTTCTGTTGGTCTGCGAGAATGCGGAATGGAGCGGGTCTGGAAAAGCGTATCGCGTGCGTGTTCTAAACAATAAACAAAATCCTTGATAGCCTTGTCAATTATTGGGAAGTCGGTTTCCGGGCGATCTCTCCGTTCCTTGTACCCTTTTGATTTACACCCAACCGTACTCATTGTTTACGCTATCAGTTGGCTTTCGCCACAAAATCTGTGACTGCAAGCGATATTATTACCGATGCACGTTCGGTTATAATGTAGATCTCTTCAAGAGAAAACTCTATTCCGGATGGGCGATAATAGCTGTCCCGACAATGGGAAATCACTTCTTCAGAAGATATCGATGAGCTTCCTCTGTCCTGTACTTTCTTCCGAGGGAAGAAGTTTCACTGTGCACCATGGAATGAAGTGTCACGAATCCGTTCCATTTCTTAATGGCCAGTGAGTGGCCCTGAAACTCATCCTATCAATTACACGTAGAAGCTTCTCACTGATAGGCCTTGAGTATTGGTCCTACTCCCAACAACATTATACACGTTTCAGGTAAGAAAGGTTCCCAATCCACTTCCGGACGGACAAGAAGGGCTAGTTATGGAGTCGATCGTGCCAAATCACCGACGAACACGACGACCGCTCAGTCTAAACAATTCCGTACTTCGGGGGTGTCTACATCAGCGGATAGTGTTCTCAAAGACAGAGTCTCAACCGGAACCATGTCACCGTGTAGCGAACAGGAGGAAATCGCTGTGGCCGAGAACGCGGCATCCCGGAAACACCTAAGTCCACCTGGATTGCTGGAATCCGCAAGTGGGTACGTTCCTGAGTGAACGACGCATCTGTTTCTCTGAATGATTGACCCAATTAGTGAGTTAAAATATCCGTTTTCACTCGTGTAAATTCATGGTTTTGTCCTGGTTTCACCAACTTACCAGCTGGCGCCTGCAATGCGCAGCTACCTACCCCCTCCCCCAAATCATCGGTGAACGAAACTGCGGCAGCTGCAACCACTGTACGACGAGTACGCGGTTATTACAGCTGACAATGATGATGATGATGAACAGATTTTAGTTTCAGTTGTGAGCCAGCAGAAGAACGAAATCTGTGCAGGTGATTCGAGTGATTTTTGTGCAATTCTTACGTTATCGAATTTTATGTGTTCAACTATCGACAAATGAATACTTCATTCGACAAAATAGTATCTTGGAGTTAATTTATGGTTCGCGACAAGGTAACCTTCTACATCAATAACCAAGGATCATTGTGGCCGCTTGTGTGACCTTCGCGATTCCTCAGATAATATTGATTTCTATATATGTTCGGGGGCCAGCCGTCCGAACATCACATCATTTGGACGCATGTGTCACGTGCAGGACACGGGCCAGACGTAGGCATGCCCTGATTGGTCAGAATGCCAGCCAATCCGAGTCAAGCACCTTGACTCGACGGTTCTCGCCCCCTCACGGACATTCCAGCAATATAAGCGCCAAAGATAGTAGCGGAATCCTAACCTGGTTACAGAACGATTGAGCTCAAAGTGGCTCAGTTGCGCGAAAATACTGACCGGTGAGTCCTTGGTTTTATCCCAACCTTCGTTTTTCGGTTTCCTCTGTCTAGGATTAGGCAATCTAGCAATATCTCAGCCATTGTGCCTCCTTCGCGTTGCCACATCTGTGTCACAGTTGAACCACAACTCTTGAGGACTCGCATGTGTTCGAACACCGATTTCTTGCGCAGTCTTTTTTACTCGACCTTCTCGTTGGAAATATAGTCACGTTGTCACTTTCTGTATGGACAATCCGAGGACACAACAGAGAATGAACAACTAGAAAGACAGGATTCAGTCACGCAGAATTATTGATTTCGGTTTTTAGTGGTTTCCAATCTTTAATCTTCCATATGATTGATTTTCGGGGCTGCACTCTTCTAATTGGACTGTACTTTTAAACACATTTTTTTGATATTCTGTCCCACGCACGCACCGTGCATACTTTCTGTAATGTGCTGTTGTTGGGTCACTGTAAGTTTGATGTAGCTTTTCAGTGCACTTCGGTGAGAGTACAGCTCTTCGTCGTTCAGCTGTAGCACCCTTTCGGCGCCTAGCTGCCGTGCCACACAAAGGAAGCACGATGGCTGGGATACTTCCAGGTTACCCAAGCCTAGACAGGGGAAGTCGAGAGGCAGAGGACTTTCCGGTCAGCGAATTCGCGCTCTAACCACTGAACCATCTCGCCCAGTACGACTCCTGTTAGATGTCTGTCTGCATACCACACCGTGCTTTGTAGGTGCTGATTATCATGTGCTTTTTTCGTTGAATTCGCTGAATTCATGTCTTTAAACAGTTCATACAGAGGTCTTGTTGGTTGAGTCGTTGAAGGATAGCCACCCCTGATCAATTCCTCTTTTCTACCTCACTCCCCCATGAGATTTGGCTTGAGATTGTTACCTTTTACGAGAACACCCTTCCAATCTCTAGGCGTCCCCGAGGAGCAATTTCCTCTCCGACCAAAGACCACTAAAAGGATGCCCGTGAAAGATACAGGTGTTTTTTCCTAAAGAGGTGTTTGTTGTATCCAAAAATGACCTCTGGTGAGCGGAGAAATCAATGGTAAAAACAGCGTGAATCGGCCGGAGTCAATGAGTTCTCAATGAGACGATCAGGAAACGGGTCTCTGGTGAAGTAGACGGTACTTGATTCGAAGAATGCATCCAACATTGCAAGCTAAGGTGGCTGGGCCACGTGCTACACACGTCAAGTTGCCGTCTACCTACGGAAACTATGTTTTCCCCGCCTAATTCGGAGTACGGAAACCTGGAGTTGAGCCTTGTATAACTTGACAGGAAGCATGAAAGGACGTTACGAAAAGTTTGGGTGCTGTTGATGTTATCCGCCTTCTACTATGCGGGCTCACACAAACCTCCCTGTAGTTAGCTGGAGATACTGAACTGCAAAGCGGCCAACCGATGTCAGTAGCGTTCATGCTGTCGATTTCCATTCAGACTGCCTGAGGTGTAGGCCCCTCAGGTGTTTGTGGCAGGTTAACCCAGGTCCCTCCCCCTGACTACCCCGTTTGCTTTCCTTTATCTGGCTTTATTTGAATAAACTGACATGGCTGTACGACTGCGAGGCCCCATTGTTCTCCTCTAATGTTGCTGTGACACTACAGGACTGAAACATTATTACGCTAGTTTCAGTGAAACATTTAGTCATCAAAATATTGAGTTTTGCTCATTACTGCTTACTCGCACGGTTAATGGAGGGTCTTGTCTCCAACAGAGGGTATGGGTTCGCCGAATAGACCAAATAGATCGTATGCCCAGTGACGACACTAACCTCCGTAAGACACCTTTCTGATGGCTTCCACTTATCGGCAATGTTGCGAACTATAGGTAGCTTGGGTGCGCCGCTTCGTTTTTCGGTCTGTTCACAGCAACCCAACTGCTAAGCTCTTCGAACACACTAATAACCAGGCTCTCACATTTCGCCGAACAGGTGTAAAATGGCCTCTCCAAATTCTTCTTTCACTTGATGTATTATTTCGTCTTCCAACATGAATAGCACACTCGACTGTGTTGGAACTCTGCAAAAAAGGTGCTAGAATATACTAACGTGTTGTGTCTCCCTGTCTGATCATATGTTATTTCAGTGTAACAGTTCGGAATCCACCACTCTTCTCTCTGTGACAGCCCGTTTCGTCCCAGTGCAAATTACTCAAGAGTCTTTCCTTCCTGAGTAATAATGTCACGACACCCATTGTCAACGAGACATTTTGTTTTGCGATTGGCTTTGGTGGTTTGGGTGACGACCAGTTCATCAAAATGTCTATCACGTGTCCACTTTGTTTGTGAGTCCAGGTTGAACATTGTTCATTACCTCGCCACCTCTGTGCAAGATGTCGTTTCGAGGCCCGACAGATCAGCCGGTTGATTCGAATGATACTTCCTTATCTTTAATATGCGGTTTTTGTGATTAAACAACCTCTCTCTCCCTACCTTCAAAGCCACTTGTCAACGAATACCCTGAAACCGTCAGAACCGGAACCCCAGCAGCCGTCATCATGTGTTGATTCCACCGAGACCAGACAGGTTAGTTCGCTTTGGGCATCAAGCGTCTTCTTGCTTGTGTATACATAACACACTACTCATAAGGTTGCTGAACACCCTTCGACAACCCAGTACCAGTTTCGCCTTTCTTTTGATCCATCAGGTAGGCGCAGTCCCCGAGTTTTCGTCAAACTTATGTTACTATTCGCGCTCCAGCAACGTCATTGCTTCTGAAATTGTAGATGGTACGCTAACGTGTGATGAGCCGGAAAGTATTTTTTTGGACGGTCATAGTCTAGTCTCCATGTAGCACCACTCATAACTGCGCACTTTTAACCACTCGGGTGGCTTCTTCAGGTCGCGTAGCAACTGCAACGAAATCTTTCATTTTCTGCTTCACCACCACTAGCCGTTCATAGGAATAAATTCGTCAACAAAGCATCTCCGATGTCCAGTATCGCTTTTTCTCTCGTTTTCCCGCCCTTCATATAGTCAACGGACCTTACGCATGCCACTGAAGTAGGGGAACTCCTCTCCTCCTTGTCCACCAATCAGCGTGCAGTACGCCGAACGACTCCACGCGGACCGGACCCATCGAATCGTGTCCCGCGCGTCAAACCATCTCGACATAACCCCGAATTGGTGAAGGGACCTAACAGGAGTCTCGTCTCAGGATCTTTATCGGCACGCCTGAGAGATCGTGACCGTTGCTGACTATTGGTTCTACCTCCTTTTTCTCCCATTTTATTTTTCGTTGCATATTTTTCCTCGCCAATCGTTTTCCCTATCTTTCCCCTGAAATTGTTATGCATTTCGAATATCCAGCTAATCTTGAATTGTTGCCACTGCAATATTTATGATCTGTATTCTTTTCATCTATCCAGCTTATGAAAACGATTATAAGCGGCCTTCACCTCTTNCACCTAGTAAGAAAATCCCCGGCAAAAATTTGGGTGGGTATCCTGGAATGAATACGTCCGGGACACACTTATCCAGTGGACAATTCGATAATTATTCCCAGTGAAACGTTGAAAGTTGAACTGCCATAGGTTACGATAGTTTGTTTATCTGAGCCAGCGTACCTGATGGGAACCTCCGTGGGGATTAAAATATCCACCGTCTTGGCTAAGCACGTGTGACCATGTAGAGTTCATGTGAATCTTGGATACATGTGCAACAGCTATGAAGAAACCATCAAATTACTAAAGACAACTTGCCTCGATTTCTAATCTATTCGGACTTTCCGAAAAGGGTTGATTAGCTTGGTTGCCGGTTGACGCTATCACTAGTCAAGGAGTACAATGGTGTTTGTGGTGTCCGTTTGAGTAGTTGACCTCGTCTCCAAATACAGTCACTTGCACAATTATTTCGGTCTCACAGTAAACCCGTTTATGATATTCTTCAACTGAATATGCAGCACAAGACTGTCTCGCGGTACGGTATGTTTTCGTGAATGGAACTGCTCTAAGGCTGCTGAAAACTCTTCGACAACCCACGACCGGTTTTCTCACTCTTGAAACCCATCAGTTTATCACAGTCCTCGAGTTTCAATCAACCTTAGGCTTTTCTGGAACCCAAATTGCACGAAACTCGCCAGATACATTTGGATGAGTCTCTCGTGGAGACCAAATTGGTGTGCAAATGAGTGTACCCTGTGAATTTCGTGCAGTTTGGGTTCAAATAGAATGTGGAGTTGATGGACACTCAGGAACTGTGTCTACCTAATGGGCTCCGATGAGGTCGAAACCGGTCGTGGACTGTCGGAGCTTTCGGTAACCGTATGGATAGTTTAATTCATGAAAATAAACCTAGCTTGTTACAGCGAACCCTCAGCTACCGCGCATAGCAACTCCATTTCACAAATGCCTCAGAGTAATATCTGGCGTTGCCAGATGTACGAAACTCCAGGTACCAATATCAAAACAGAGAGCCGGTTATCACATGAATCCTGACGCGTTCATACCGCACTATTATTATATGTTGACCGTCTCGAAACCAATAGACACGCGTATCCCATTTAGGCTTTTTTGACATCCATAGTTGTTCCCCGCGCCTACAAACTCACTACCTGAAATTCTTCGACCGTTTACTCTTACGTTTTAGGATTAGATCGATAAACCTAATTGACTAAACCTTCCAGTTTTCCCCATCATCAACATTCTGGAAGCGGGTGTTCCCATGAGACTATCTTCTTACTAGACTGAGAGTCAGCAAAACCAACGCAACATTTACAAAGCAGAGTACGCATCTAGTTTACTGCCAGCAAGGATTAAAACAGTGTTGTTGGCTTCACAGTTTGCGCGGCACTGTTTGGCCGAGCGACTAAGCCTTATCTTGCTTCTCCGCGCTGTATGGTCGCCGTGTAAACATCCCCGAACGGTTATCGCATTGGGATAATGCAGATCGGCTCTTTCTTGGTTATTGTTCCCACTGGCTTCCTACGTTTGTACAAATGTCGTATGTGTACCTTTTGAACCACACTCCAGTGGTTTGTTTTACATGGTGCGAAATGATCGACGGACCATGCGTATTGGAAGTGCAGTTCGGTTTTTTTTTATCTCGAAGCTATGATTCAGTCGGTTAGGTCGTATCCCACGCCTTAACCGCGTTAGTATTCCTAGTTATTCTACCCGTTCATAAACTTTCAGTTGTGGTCCGAGAGGCTCGTCTCTTGTTTTGCTGCGTGCTTGAAACAGTCTACTGTGAGGTGTTACTCATCAGAACTCACCAGTTTGAGCTGCTTTCACAGAAACGTAAAACATCCGAGTTTCACAGCTTTAACTCTGTCAACTGTCTGTTCGTTGTTATCAAAGCTTTCTTGCATACAATCTGCATGTTTTACGTGTCGCTACTGAGGGCACCACAAGAACCGTTAACATCTGCCCTTTATCTGTTCCGATGGAGGTGAAACTTATTACGCGACATGTAGAAGTAAAGTCATTGCATCATCAAACGCATACCTGATAGTCGGTCGCACTATGTTTACGGCCGTGCCGGTTCGAATCCATCCAATTGAACATCAGCTGAACATGTGTTAGACCACATTTGTCATTCCTTACAGTTTTATGCATTTAGCTTCAGTGCTGTCATGTGAGAATAAACTATCATCAAAATTATCACGGCTCCGTTTATTGAGAAATTTTTGGGTATGATAAACACTGAAAACAAGATCACAGCATATAAATAGTCTTCAACAGGCGGTAATGAGCCAGTAGCTGATTTCCACTTATTATTGATGTTTCGCCATTGTTTAAGGCTGGCTTTGCTCACCGATGGGTTTTGGTGTAGAGGGCTCACTTTGCTCATCAACTGCCTAAAAAAGACATCAAAACAGTTACAAAAATCTCACTCAACAAATGTCCGGTTCGTATGCGAAGAAAAAAAAACGAAAGTGGTTCGTTGCATTCTCTTCCTTCAGGTATCTGTCTTTTAAAGGCAAACATTACGGGGTGAAGTTGCCTAGCCAATATCCCAGTTTGTAGTAGCGCATGACTATAAACGCCGAAAGCCATCATCTCGGTAGCACCATGGAGTGAATTGAAATGACCTTCACTACGAAAAACACATGCACACCGAAATACTACCGGCAAAAGTGCACTTGAGTGCAAAGTCTTCTATTGTCCAACGTCAACCAAACTGCTATAAGCTATAAAACAAGGAAGGATTAACTTCATTTTCACAGTCTGCAAAAAGCAAACGTCCCCAAGCTTCCCCTAGAATTCTCTTGGGCTTTGTTTGAATATGGCGGCGAGATGGCCCAAGTGGTTAGAGCGCGAATTTACTGACCGGGAGGTCCGTAGTTCGAACCCGACCTCTGCCTCTCGGATTTCTCTTTCTAGGCTT